TAAAAAAAGTTTGGGGGACAAGTGTTGAGTTGCAGATTATAGGGGAAAGGTTAACAACCTCACACAGCCAACACCTTTCCCCCTTCTACACATGGATAGTAATGTGGAAATACTGGGTGAACTAAATGTACAACTCGACTTGCTTAAGGGATTTATAGGGGCCCATTAAGTGATAGGGGAAAAGGGGAAAAACCCTTTTTTAAAACCCAGAGAGCCCTAGTATTAAAACCCAGAGGCCATAATATTTAAACCCAAAGCCAGTAATATTTTAAACCCAGGAGTCAGTATTTTTAAAACCCCGAGAGTCAGATTATTATAAACCCCGAGGCCAGTAAAATTAAAAACCCAGAGAGCCATAAATTATAAACCCAGAGAGTCAGTATTATTTAAAACCCCCAGAGTCAGTATTATTTTAAACCCAAAAGGGCCCGTAATATTAAAACCCCAGAGAGTCAGTATTATTATACACCCAGAGACATATTATTAAGACCCCGAGAGTCGTATTTTATACACCCCGAGAGTCAGTATTTTTATAAACCCGAGAGCCAGTAATTTTATAAACCCAGAGAGTCAGTTTAAAATAAACCCGAGAGTCGATTATTAAGACCCAGAGAGTCGTAAAATTTTTTAAACCCCGAGAGCCAGTAATATTATAGACCAGAGAGCCAGTATTTTTATAAACCCAGAGAGCCAGTAATATTAAAACCCAGAGAGCCAGTAATATTAAACCCCCCAAGCCCAGTTTATAATAACCCGGAGTCTAATAAAAAACCCAGAGGCCATTAAAATTAACCCAGAGAGTCAGTATTATTAAAAACCCCGAAGCCCCTAATATATAAACCCCGAGAGCCGAAATTAAAACCCCGGAGCCAGTAATATTATAGACCCAGGAGCCAGATTTTTTTTAAACCCAGGACCAGTAATATTATAAAACCCCGAAGTCATATTTTTAAAAACCCCGAGATCATATTTTTATAAACCCCGGAGTCAGTATTTTTATATACAGAGAGAGTCAGTATTATTAAGACCCCAAATCAGATTTTTATTAACCCAGAGTCAGATTATTTTTAAAAAACCCAAGGCAGTATTTTATAGACCCGAGTCAGTATTATTAAAACCCCCAAGAGTCATATTATTATAGGACCCAGAGTCAGTATTATTAAAACGCCCCGAGAGTCAGTATTATTTTACACCAGAGCAGTATTTTAGACCCAGAGATCTATTATTTAAAAAACCCGAAGCATATTATTATAGACCCCCAAAAGGCAGTTTATTTTAACCCGAGATCATATTTTAATAAAAACCAAGAGTCGAATTTTTATACACCAGTAGTCATATTTTAACACCCCAGAGAGTCAGTATTATATAGACCCAGAGAGCAGTATTTTATAGACCCAGAGATCGATTTTTATAGCCCGAGATCATATTATTATAGACCCAGAGAGTCATATTATTATAGACCCCGAAGTCACTATTATTTACACCCAAGAGTCGGATTATTATAGACCCAAGATCATATTATTATAGCCCCAGAGAGTCAGTATTATTTTAACCCCAAGAGTCAATTTTTTTATACACCAAGGGCATATTATTATAGACCCGAGAGTCATATTATTATAGACCCAGAGAGTCAGTATTAATTACACCCCCGGGTCATATTATTTTAAAACCCAGAATCGTATTATTATAGACCCCCGGGGGTCATATTTTTATAGACCCAAGAGGCAGTACTATTTTAAACCCCAAAAGGGCAGATTATTAACACCCCGAGTCAGTATTTAAGACCCAAAGGTCAGTATTAATATGACCCAGGGCAGTATTATTATACACCCGATCATTATTAAGACCCCGAGAGTCAGTATTTTTTTATACACCCCCGAGAGTCAGTATTTTTTATACGCCCAAGAGTCAGTATTATTATAGACCCCGGTCATATTATTATCACCCAAGGTCATATTTTTATAGACCCGAAGCCCGTATTATTATAGAACCAGAAGTCATATTATTATAGACCCTTAAAGGGGCAGTATTATTAAACCAGAGAGTCAGTATTATTATAGACCCAGAGAGTCAGTATTATTATAGACCCGAAGCTATTATTATAGACCCAAGAGTCGTATTATAATAAACCCAGAAGCAGTACATTATAACCCAGAGAGTAGTATTATTATAGACCCAGGAGTCGTATTTTTTTTACACCCAAAAGTCTTATATTTTAACCCAGAGAGTCAATAATTTTTACAACCCAAAATTTATATTTTTATACACCCAAAAAGTCAATATTATTACACACCCAGAGGTCAGTATTATTTTAAAAACCCAGGAGCAGATTTTAAAAACACCCAGGAAAATCAGTATTTTATACGCCCCGAAGTCAGTAAATTTTTAAGACCCGAGAGTCAGTTTTATTACACACCCGGAGTCATATTTTATAAAACCCCCAAAAGTCGTATTATTTTTTAAACCCCGAGGTCAGTAATTAAATTTAGACCAGAAGTTTATATTAACACACCCAAAGTCAGTATTTTTATAAACCCAAGAGGCAGTATTTTATACACCCCGAGAGTCAGTATTATTATACACCCGAATCAGTATTATTATAGACCCGAGATCATATTATTATTAACCCCCAAAAGTCGTATTTTATAGACCCAGAGAGCAGATTATTATACGCCCCGAAGTCAGTATTATTTTACACCCAGAGAGTCTATTATTATCACCCAGAGGTCAGTATTATTAACCCCCCGAGACATATTTTATACACTCAAGAGTCAGTTTATTTTAGACCCAGGAGCAAAATTATTACAACCCCGAGAGTCATATTTTTATACACCCCGGAGTCATTTTTTAACGCCCAGGAGTCAGTATTATTATACGCCCCAAGAGTCCCGTATTTTTTATGCCCGAGAGTAGTATTTTTATACACCCAAGAGTTTTTCATTAAGACCCAGAGAGTCATATTTTTACACACCCAAGAGTCAGTATTTTTACAGACCCAGAAGCTTATTAAATTACACACCCCGAGAGTCCCGTTTATTATACACCCAGAGAGTCAGTATTATTTTAAAAACCCCAAAAGTCAGTATTTTTTAAAACCCAGAGAGTCAGTATTATTATAAACCCAAGAGTCAAATTTTTTTATCACCCCGAATCAGTTTCATTAAAAACCCAGAAGTCAGTTTTAATTTACACCCCGAGGTCAGTATTTTTATACGCCCCCAGAGGCATATTATTATAACTCAGAGAGTCAGTATTAAAATTGACCCCGAGAGTAGTAAAAATAGATCGAGAGTCGTATTTTTTTGACCCAAGAGTAGATTAATTTAGACCCAGAGAAGTCAGTAATTTTAAAAACCCAAGAGTCATATTATTAACAACCCAGAGAGTCGTAAATTTTAGACTCAAGATCAATTTTATGACTCAGAGAGTCAGTATTATTATTAACCAGAGAGTCAGTATTATTATAACCCCGAGATCAGTTTATTATCACCCCAAAAGTCAGTAACATTAAGACCCAGAGAGTCAGTATTTTTATAGACCCCAAAAGTCAGTATTTATTATAGACCAGAAGCAATATTATTACACCCCCAAAGCAGTATTATTATAACCCAGAGAGTCAGTATTTTTATAGACCCAGAGAGTCAGTATATTATAACCCAGAGAGTCAGTATTATTATAAACCCAGAGAGTCAGCATTATTATACACCCAGAGAGTCAGTATTATTATAACCCAGAGAGTCAGCATTATTAACACCCAGAGAGTCAGTATTATTATACACCAGAGAGTCAGCATTATTATACACCCAGAGAGTCAGTATTATTATAAACCAGAGAGTCAGTATTATTATACACCAGTGAGTCAGTATTATTATACACCCAGAGAGTCAGTATTATTATACACCCCAGAGGAGTCAGCATTATTATACACCCAGAGTCAGCATTATTATACACCAGAGAGTCTGTATTATTATACACCCAGAGAGTCAGTATTATTATAAACCCAGTGAGTCAGTATTATTATACACCCAGAGAGTCAGTTATTATATCAGACCCAGAGAGTCAGTATTATTATAGATCCAAGAGGTCAGTATTATTATAGACCCAGAGAGTCAGTATTATTATAGACACGAGAGCCAGTATTATTATAGACCCAGAGAGTCACTATTATTATACACCAGAGAGTCGGTATTCATTATAGACCCAGAGAGTCGTATTATTATACACACCCAGAGAGTCAGTATTATTATACCCAGAGAGTCAGTATTATTATACACCCAGAGAGTCAGTATTATTATAGCCCAGAGAGTCAGTATTATTACACACCCAGAGTCAGTATTATTATAGACCCAGAGAGTCAGTTATTATTACACACCAGAGAGTCAGTATTATTATACACCCAGAGAGTCAGCATTATTATACACCCAGAGAGTCAGTATTATTATACACCCAGAGAGTCAGTATTATTATACACCCAGAGAGTCAGCATTATTATAAACCCAGAGAGTCAGTATTATTACACACCCAGAGAGTCAATATTATTATAGGCCCAGAGAGTCAGTATTATTACACACTCAGAGAGTCAGTATTATTATCAAGTGACTTTGACTTGCACAAATTATCTGCCATATTTAAAAAGTTGATGTGTTTAGCTATTAATGAGTTAGAAGTAAGACAAACTTAACTAGATGACTTAGATATTTCTCACACCTGGAAGTGCTTATCCAATGATTAAGAAAACTTTTCAAGATATTTAAAATATATAATTAACAGTGAATCTTAGTATATCAACTCAGCATATCAGTATATCTCTATTTTCTATTGTTTTGGAAAGTTTTTAACTGAGAGACCCAATAACTGATATAATTATTCTTATAGGAAAAAATCTTATAAATTATAGGTAAGGTTGTTATAGACTAACATTAATTACCTGTTAGCTACATCACTTACACTAACATGCAGGAGAAGAATATAACAAAATAAGCAACAGAGTTAACACATACTTGTTAGCTTCATTGGCCACCTTAAACGTCTCCCACTCTGCAGAATGTTGTTCTCCTTGCAGGTTGGTAGCGATCACCTTGAGTCGGTAACGACGACCTCCGCTAGTCAGGGCGTGAAGGTTGTCATTACCTGCAGGTGATCACAACACTCTGACATTCACAATCTTCACTGATAATGTAACATTATCAACATGTACATCATATGTACTTTATAATCTATACTGAGAGCTACAGTAACTACAACACAACACATGGCACTACATGAAATGCAACATAGAGTTTCATGAACTACAATACGTCAGAATGAACTACAAGATAACAGGTCTTACCCAGCCAATATTCTCCACTTGGGTCACCGAAGCCAGTCTTGTAGTCTTGCCAGGGCCTGTTGAAGTTCTCTTGTGGAGTCTGGCGCTGGCGGGCGAGGAACACCGTCCACATGTGTTCCTCTTCTATCGTACACAGTACACTCACACCTTCTGCAGAACTGTTTAACACTTTCGTTATAGCTACACTCTGTGTGTTTGTTTTTAAGACACTGACATTGTGCATCTAGATATGAGGTATGAGTCACCATACAAGGTCAACTGAGGCAGTGTAGTGTTTGATACTGTCACCTACACTGTAAAGTAATTATTATAAAGCTTCTTCAAGTAATATAGTTATCATATAATAATGAATCACAGAAGTTTAGTGTTAAAAAATCGTAATATTGTTTCACATTATCTTAATAAGAATCGTCAAATAGAGTTACACAGTCTAGTGAGTAGTCTAGACAGTGGTTCCCAAACTGGGGAGTGAATTACCCCTTGGGGTAATTTACCATTTGGGGGGTACATGGAGGGGGGACAGAAAAAAATTATGATCTGAAAATCAAATACAAGGTACCTGATGAGGATTATTGTTAACTGTCTTAGTATATACAGTTGTAAAGTCAACCTATTATAAGTAAGTAATAAGTTAAACCAAAATACAATAAACATCAAACTAATAGTACAGTATTTGAAAAGGAAAATACTAGCTAAGTTGTGGAACCAAAAGTATTTGACAAGTATGTTCAGGTACAAAAGTCACTCAGTAGCCAGATGACCTGTCCGTACGGTCACTCACTTCCTGAGGCTGCTCATTTCAACGTCAGTTATCTGTGAGCATCACCGAGGTAGCATAGGCTGGTATGTATGTGTACTGCCTGTGCAGTATATAGTTAGTATTTACCCACTGTACTGTGAATTGTAGCTATATAATTGTTATAATAAAGTATGTGTGGTTCTTACGTTTCACCTCAATGGTTTGCTAGATTGAGCAGAGTATGCGAGGCTGTATACGTGTCACGTTTAGCACGTTTGCGGCAGCGGCAAAGCGGACTTCCAGTCCGTACTTTTCTACAACTACAAGCTACCATGCTCTATGATGACCTAGTTACAAGCAAAACTGGCATTACCCAACGTAGCACCAGAAGGGACAAAATTACAAGAACCAGTGAAACCTACAAACAAAAATATTAATCAAAGGATGACTGCAACAAAAGAAAGCAACACCCACTGCAGCCGAAAAGTTAACCACTAAGCTTTGTAAAACTACAAACTTTTCTAACAACAATCGAGTTTTATGAGCGCAAACAAAGAAAACAGCACCAAAAAGAAAAACCGAAAAATCAACTACAACAATGTAGTCAGGAGGAGCACAAAAAAAACCCCCACCCATCAGGCAAAACAAAAAAAAACAAAAATCAAAAATTTATTCAAAAAGTAGTCTCAGGAGACCACGATCCAGAACCCCCTAAATCAGACCAACTTAAAAAATAAATCTTCAGAACTAAAAAACAAGACACAGGATGACCAACTCAAAACCAAAAAGCTGAACAAAATTTATAAAAATATAACTGTGACAAAACAAACACAAGATACAAAACAAAACCAAATACAAAGTTGAAAAGAAAGTTAAAAACAATGAAAACAAAGATACAAAGTCATGATACGCCTAAAAAAATAAAAACAAATAAAATATGAGAAAAGTAAATAAGGAATGAAAAACAAACAGTAAAGAATTACTCTGCGTCATAAAGGCCCAAACAAGTATTGTCCCAGGTCTGAAATAAAAGAAGCCAGGTTACTAGGATCCCATGGTAGAAAAAGTTTATGCTTAGTTTCCCACTCACAGGGACGAAAAAGACTTAATTATTGCACTATTAAAGTAAAGAAAGAGGTATACATAAACGAGGTTTACAAAAAACGTCAGAACCTCCTGTATAGAGTCAGAAAACTTTTAAAGGGAGAATAATGAAAAATACACCAATGCTTCAACGGGATGGGAAATCTTGTTAGGGAAAACAAAGTAGGTCAAATGTACACAATCCGAACGAGAATGATCTATCCATTTCCGGGATATAATTTTGAGGGGAAAAAATAACAATGTCCAAACCTAAAAAGCCTATTTGTGTAGTGAATGTTTTGCTCCTTATTGTTCAAATTTCATATTACAATCTTTAGTATTTAAATAATCAATACCTCATTTTGTGATTTTACTAGTAAGCATAAGTCACCTTATGTAATTTTCTTATTTACTATTTTTTGCTTAAACATTAGTGAATTGATACTTTCTCTGTCCCTTATTACTACCTCATTTTTTTTTAAAAATACTATCAATGTGATATTACTTACTAAAATTAATTATTATCATTTTTACTAAAATTTCAATTTACTCTTAACATTTTTGACATTTAATAACCATTACTTGTCTAATTACCTTTACCTGTTTTAATCCCAAACTTTTTACTATCTTAGAGTACTCTTAATTACCTTGTACTGCCATTATACCAAGTAAAACTACCAGTGCAATATTGAATGAAATAAACATTACTTTTTCACTTTTTTGTAATCATTATTACTTACTAAATTTTATTAAACACCATATTTACTACAGTCATTTTACTTTTGTACATTAAACTTTATTTTTATACTTCCCATAAATTTTGTTGCCAAATTTTCAAGTTTGTATATTAAACCCCAACCTTTATTATCTTTGTACTGTGTCCTGGGACCTGTGACCTGGGTACCTGTGTCCTGGGTACCTGTGTACCTGTGTACCTGTGTACCTGGGTACTGGTACCTGGGTACCGTCTACCATTTAATATCATATTATAACCAAGACATTACCATTGTTATTTTTTTACTATTATTCTTTTGGTACTTTAATTGTGAATTTTATTTTGTCAATTTAAATCTAGTTATAATTTGATCTTGTCAACAAACCTTACCAGACTCTAGTGCAATTGCAAGTACCATTTCAAATTGTATTTTTTATATTTAAGTTTATATTATAATCCTAAAATCTGTCCATTTACTTTGTTTCCCTTACTTAATTTTAGTCCTTATATTTTTTACCTTTATTTTAGCTTTATATATCTACCCTAGTTTATTATTCACAATTGTTAAAATAATCAGGTGCTATTTCAGGTGCTAAAGTAGAATAAGTTCACAATTTTGCCATTATATTCCAAAGCTCTTTTATTTGATTACCACTTTATTGTTCACCACAACCTTATTAGTCCCTTTTATTTTTTATTTTATACTATAATTCTAACTTTAAAAAATTACCTTTATAGTATACCTATTTATCTATTCCAAGTTTCCATTATTTGTTTCATCACTTTATTTGTTTAGTCCCTTTTATATTGTCTCCTTTATTTTAGCTTTAAAAAAAAACTACCTTAGCTCATTATTTTACATTTGTTAAATAATTCAGGTGCTTTTTTTTTGCTTAAGACTATTTACTTTGTTTTTTACTTAATTCTAACTATAGTTCACTACAAATCTTATGATTACAAGCATTGTTTCCTGATACCAACCCTCTTATTTAATGACTTAAATGAATCAAAGATACTGTAATTACTACACTGCAGAAAAATTTCAAAGGCACTTCTCAGTGCCAACAACAACAAAAACTATCTTTAACTACAATATCAGATTTTTAAAGCAAGCATTACGATGCCCTCATGCATTACTAAATTCCTAACATGCCAATATGTCCATCATTACACTAACTGAAACCTGGCTAAAGCCTGATAGTACAGTTGTCTATGCCATTCCTGGTTACACAGCCATACACAACTGTAGGCCAGACCAAAGGGGGTGGCACAGCCATATACTACTCAGACCAACTAGAATGTATCACTAATACTTACACAAGGGAATTGAACAGGGGGAAATATATAATAGCTAAATTCAAATCAAATTACCTACAAAAACCTCTCACATTGAAAAACATCTACAGAGTTCACAGTCAAACATTAGCAATTTAGTCAAAACCTAGGAAGTATGAAAAACTGATGCACGCATGAACAAAGATCACTTACTACTCTCAGGTGACTTCAATATAAATCTCCTGCAAGACCAGGACCCACACGTTACTGAATTCACAAACACAAGGTTAACTGTATGTTACTACCAACAGTAACAAAACCTACAAGGTTACAGAGATAGTGTTTCCCTATTTGACCACATCTGGACCAACACCATATCCCCTTTAAAATCAGGCATAATTAAGATAATACCACAGACCACTTACCCTACTTTCCTCATAACAACTCTTGGTAAACTACCCCAAGACTACAAAAGTCACCTTCAGACTTCACAATGAGGCAGCCATTAATAACTTCAAACAGCGTGCAAACATTGATTGGCACACTGAGCTAGAAATCTTTACAGATATTGCGAATGTATAATAATTTTTCTAAAAAAGACCCAATTTACCTCTAAAAACAAGCAGCCTAAAAAAAACTAAACAGATGAAGCTAAGAGATGAACAGTCCTGGCTAACACCCAGCATTCTCAAATCCATAAATACAAAACACAATATGAAAAACAGTACAGAATGGGTCACATAACCAGGGGACCAAACAAAACGTTATCGTCAATCCTAACCGGGCCTGATAAGAAGGGCAAAAAAATTTGTTTTTATGAAAACAGATTATCCAACTTACGAGGTGATATAAAAAAGCCCTGGAAAACCCCTATCAGAAATTCTAGGAACAAAAAAGATATCACGAAATGCGAAATAAAATTACCAAAATCAGATGAACCCCAACCTCCACCAACAGAAACAGCAAACAGACTAAATGATTTCTTCTCACTATAGGACAAACCTTGCCAATAAAATCCAAGCTCAGATACCCCACCAAATGACTACCTCCCCGGCAACTACCCAAAACCACTGTTCCTAGCTCCGACTACCCATACGAAGTCTCCCTTTTTATCAACGCACTAAAAAACAAGGCAGGAGATTTAAATACCTTACCCCCCTTTTTTACAAAAAGTGTCACAAGTGCTATCACCAATCATTGCAACACTCTTTAACAAACCCAATTGAATCCTCACCTTTCCCCTACAGTATTTCAAATAGCAAGGGTCACCCCGATCCACAAAGGAGGAGCCAAAAAACAGAGTTGAATACTATGGGGCCAATATCCAACTTACACCCTCTCTCAAAAATCTTCGAAAAATTAATTCATAAAGGGGAATCTACTCTACCTTATCTCCCAAACATACTCAACCCTGCCAATTTGGATTGGGGGCCTAATAAAATACTAATGATGCTATTATACACATGCTAGAAATTTTATACACTGCAATAGAGAAAAAAGAAGTCCCACTGGGGATCTTCATTGACTTACGTAAAGCTTTTGATACAATTGACCATGACTTGCTCCACGTAAAATTGTCACACTTGGTATAAGAGGGCACTCCTCAACTACCTCAAGTCATACCTCAGCAACAGAAGCCAATATGTGTACGCAAATAGGGCAAAACTCTTCTTTTGCAACCAAAATTTCAGTTGGTGTCCCACAGGGAAGTGTCCTTGGCCCTCTTTCTTTCTCCTATACATAAAAAGACCTTCCAAATGCTTCGCAATTTACTCAAAACCCACACTATTTGCAGATGCCCCCTACATACGTCTTCTCTCACCCGAGCCCGTCACGCTAGCCAATACTGTAAATACCGAAATTTACAGAAAATATTACCTGGATGAGGACTAACAAACTTACACTAAACATTGACAAAAACCTACTTCATTCAGTTTGGTAACAGAGCTACAGATGTCCCTCTTAAATAATGATAAACGGATCACCTATCACAAAGCTAACAGAGCGAAAATTCTTAGGAAACCACCTTGATAATAGACTCAAATTTCATACACATATACAACAAATTTCTAGAAAATTTCCAAGATGTAGGCATACTATCGAAGATTACGGTACTATGTTCCACAGTCAGCCTCCTGGCCCTTTTTATTTACCCTATCTCACCTATGGAATTTGTGCATGGGGCTCAACAACAATTAACCATCTCAGACCACTAATTACCCAACAAAAGGCTGCAGTTAGAATGATAACAAATTTTCACTACAGGCAGCACAAATCCACCAATATTCAATACACTAAACCTACTCACCATACAAAAACATCTTACTTATTACTGCACCTATTACATACATTTGAACAAATTAACTCTGTATTACCCTCCCCTCAAACATTCCTTGCCAACCTCAACAGAACACATGACCATAAAAACAAGGCACAGATCAATCTTTGATGTTCCTCGTGTCCATCTCAACCCCTATGCAAAACTCAATGCACATAAAAAGGCCCTAAAATCTGGAATTCATTACCTGTAAATATAAAAGAAACACTACCTGTTTATAAATTCAAGTCTCTTCTCAAGATCACTTACTCACCCAAAACCAAATAAATACTGAATACGAACCTTATAAATTGTATATCTTAAATGTTTCTCACAATTTATAATAAATGTTAAACCTAAAACCTAAAAATTTATATTTTTTTAAAATACACTACCTAACAGAATACTCCTACGACTGAATGTACAACAATGCATGCACCATATGACCTGTCTTTGTAATACTCATTTTTGCTTTAAGTTATCTGTTTACAATAATGTTTTATCATGATTTCTTTATTGTTTAGTTAATTTAAGTTAATTTTAAGCCAGCCGTAATGCTATGCATAGTATAAGTGGCTTTGGCATGCTGCTCTTATCTGTATTTTTTTGTACCTCTGTATGTGTGCTCAAATTGTAAATAATAAATAAATTAATAAATAAATAATAAATATTCCTTGTGAAACTCCAAAAGAAATGACCTTTTTACATATTGCTTGCGTAATCCCGCCCTACTTACTATGTACGTGGTTCTGTAACTCTGAGGGAGGAAATAAATACAGTTTTTTATTTAAAATAAACTAGGGGAAAGTTTTGTTACCATCATTGTTTTATTTAAATTATTAGTTTTTTATTATTATTATTATATTATTATTATTTTTTTTATTTTATTATTATTTTTTTTTTTATTATTATTATTTTAAAATTTTATGTTATTATTATATTATTATTATTATTGTTAATTTTGTTAATTTATGTGGTCAGTCCATCAGTTTTGATTGATGGATGTTCCAATCGACTCAAGGTTTAGGGGACTGTTTACCCCATTCTCCTCCTTTGTATTCACTGATGAAGCCACTGTGTGGCGAAACGTTTCTCAATAAAGATATCCAAGAGTTGCCCCATGTGTTAATTTATCAATGTGTCGGTTCTCTGAACCAAATGCAGAGTCTGGTTCATTTCTCAACATTTTTAATACCCAATACAGTGTTAAACTCAATAATGGTGTCACTCATACTAGAAATACCAAGCTTCTTCCCCATTTTAAAAACCTTTGTAGATTTAGGACAGCCAAGAATAATCCTGAGAGCTTCATTTTGCATTAACTCCAAGGGTCGGATGAGAACTTTCCCTAGTAATTCAACATGGGAGCAGCCCTAATCAATTTAGGACCTACATAGGCTATGTACATCATTCTCACGATTTTCACATTGCACCATAGTTGGGGTTTGTTTGCGCAACAGCTTTGAGAGCATTTTGCATAGCTTTGCATTTCTTATTTAGTTGTGGTATAGTGAATTTGGTTAAAAAGGGACATCTACCCCCAAGATATTGTAGGTTTTAACTTAGCTAATGATTTAACCCTGCAAATAGATGGGTGGGGGATGTCGTTGCTTGTTAATATCTTAGTTTTAGAGGAAGATATTATGAGGCCTAGTCGATTACAAATTGCTTGAACTTCATTAAGAATGGTATTCATCTTCTTATGCCCTGTTGTATGGATCATGATATCATCAGCATAGCTTATAGCTATATGTTTAGGTGAGGCAGGTAAACCATTAAGGAGGGCATTAATCAGAATATTAAATAGCATGGGACCTAGGGACATTTCTTTGGACTCCTAAAGCCTTGGTAGAGGACAGAGGATAGTCTATTTGACAGGTATCCTATTATCCAGCCGAGTAAGCTACCACCAATATTCATTTTGGCTAGTTCATGTAGTATAACGGTTCTGTTTGCGATATCAAATGCAGATTTTAGAAATGTGATAAAACTAACAGAGGTTTGTGCAGTGAGAAAGGCGGAAATACATTTCTGCACACTTTTACCTTTCATGATCCCACAGAGATGAGGGGAAAGTTAGTGTCTGATTCTGTAGTACAGTCTGTTAAGTATCTTTCTTCCAAAAGTTTTACAAAGACAACTAGTTAAGGAGAACAGTCTAAATGTATACAGTTGTTTTTCAGTGTTTTTATATTGCTGATTAATACTTATTTTACATATGAAGGCACAAAGTAGTGATTTGTGTTTTATTTTCTTATGAAGACAAGAAAGAGTAAAGTCTGACAGAGTTGTACATCTGAGAGAATTATACACATCATTGTTTGTAGATTAACTGTCGAAATAATAACTGAGGCTGGAGAAACAACTTACCTCTGAGGGGAGATCCTGTAGACACCACTCTCAGTCACACCTCTATGATGAATGTCCGAGCAGTCTCGTGCAGGAGGGCGTATACCCCCACAAGTTAAATTAACCGATAATGTTCCATAATGAAAAAAAATTCAGTACGTGATTAATTGTACATTTTGTCTTGATTAAATATAATTATTATCAGTGTAATTTTTTATTAAAAACACAAGAACATACGTAGTATTCTCTTTACAATTAGGTGAGTATCTCTCATTGTATAATATTGTTATAAACACTGTGATATACAAGATATACATATACAGAAAACTGTGCATTTCTCAGTAAATAATATATAATAAAAGTTTAATTAATCTCTAGCAAAATGAATGTAATTGTTCTTGAAACAAATAAACGGAAGAAATGCGACTTTAGTGACTTAAGTGGAACAGAGGCATTAAACTTAATAAAGTTATTAACATGACAGTACAGTCGGAATCACATATAATATTAACACATATTTCTGAGTGTTAACACATTAACACAAGGTGCAGCATGATAACACATTAACACAAGGTGCAGCATGAGTGTTAACACATTAACACAAGGTGTAGCATGAGTGTTAACACATTAAACACAAGGGGCAGCAAAAGTGTTTAACACATTAAAACAAGGTGCAGCATGGTGTTAACACTTAACACAAAGGGGCAGCATGAGTGTTAACACATTAACCCAAGGGGCAGCAAGAGTGTTAACACATTAACACAAGGTGCAGCATGAGTGTTAACACATTAACACAAGGTGCAGCATGAGTGATTACATATTAAAAACAAGGTGCAGCATTGAGTGATATCACATTAACACAAGGTTTCAGCATGAGTGTTAACATATTACACAAGGGGCAGCATGAGTGATTTTCACATTAACACAAGGTGCAGCATGAGTGTTAACATATTTAACACAAGGTGCAGCATGAGTGATATCACATTAACACAAGGTGCAGCATGAGTGATAAACACATTAACACAAGGTGCAGCATGGTGTTAACACTTAACACAGGTGCAGCATGAGTGATATCACATTAACACAAGGTGCAGCATGAGTGATAACACATTAACCAAGGTGCAGCCTGAGTGTTAACCATTAACACAAGGTGCAGCATGGTGTTTAACACATTACACAAGGTGCAACATGAGTGTTAACCCCATTAAACACAAGGTTTCAGCATGAGTGTTAAAACTTTTAAACACAAGGGTGCAGCATGAGTGAAACACATAACCACAAGGTGCAGCCCTGAGTTAATGGTATTATGTGGTACTTACACCCCAAACCATGAACACCAAAAATCTTCCTCAGAGAATATAATATTTATAATGTGCACTCCTAAGATGTATTCAGTCCATTCATATTTCCAGTATTTGATAAAAAACATTTATGGAGGTAAGCTCCTACGTTAGGTATCTGCTTGCAAGCAATGCTTCTTAAAACAGGGGCCCACCAATGTGCCCAAAACATGGTCTGTATTTTTTTTTTAATTCTCCCGAATGTTCTGGCCTCACCAGGAATTTTTCAACGCATCTCCCCGAAACAAGCAAAAGATTGCAGTCGCGGACTCAAAACCTTGTTTGATACTATCCGTAGTGTGCTTGCTTCTACTGACGGTTTTAAAAACAAAAAAAGTCAGTAGTGAGCTAAGCCTCACTGCTCGTAAGTGTCGATGTTGGTCAAACCCTTTTCCCCTGCAATCTTTCTGGGGAATTATTTCATCTGATTCTGTGGAGGAATATTAAAATATATATATATTTTAATATTATATATATAAATATTATAAAATATATAATTTATATTTTTATAATAAATTATATATATTATATTATTATTTTTTAAAATTTTAAAATATTAATTTTTATATATATATTTTAATTTTATATATATATATGTATTTATTTATTTATTTTTTTTATTTATTTATTTTTTTTTTAAAGGGGGCAGACCCAATTAAAAACAAATTTTTTCGTGGGGCAGAAAACAATATGAAGTTCCGTGAAAAATTTTTAATTACTTCGTATGGAAAACATGAGGAAATTAAACTTCATCGAGTATAAAACAAATTTCAGCCACCAATAGGGAAACACCCCAAAGTCAAAGACTGGGGTGTCATGTCGGAGGATCTCACTTCAAGGCCATAAATTGTATCAATCGCATTTCTAGAAAAAAGACAGGGTGGATAATGAAACCTTCAAAAAATAGGGAGGCCAAGCCCCTGATGCACTCTTCGGTTGGCTTTTCTATCTAGGCGGAATATTTGCCCCCTAACGACCTTTCAAGGAGGTGAAAATTTTGACCTAGAAAATGTACAGAGAAACCCTTTAGGCCGCTAAAAGGGGATAAAACACCTAAAAATTAAAGGGACGCTTGAGGTTCCTGAAAATGTTTCCCGGAACGCAGGTGGGAGAGATACATGATTAATCACCTGGAAAATTCCTAGAGGGATAGTACCGAAATTGCACACGAAAACCCACTCACTACGAAAGCAAGACTTGACGACGAGCAACATCCCCCAATAAAAAAGAGGGGGCATAGCACGTTAGAAACAGTAAAATAAGTGCCAGGGGCCCGGACTGTTAAACTGCCTCCCAGCATACTTAAGGGGGATTCCCAATAGACCCCTGGCAGTCTTAAGCAGGCATGGACAACACCTAAAGTCGGTGCCGACCAGCGGGGCTGGGGTCGTACGTTGGTTTGCGTGCACCCATCGTAACGCCTGTTTGATCAGGCCTGTACCCAGGGGTTTGGTACAGCCCGGGGCCCGCGGGGGGGTGCCCCCCGGAAACTCTCCCCGGTAAGCCCCAGGAAAACAGAGACAAACTGTCAAAGATCTTCCCCTCGCGGGCCCCCGCAACGTCTTCCGAAAACGGTAAAATTTGGGTAAAATTTTACCAAGATGGTAACACTGTCAACATTTCCCACAGACTGGCAACACTATCAACGTCTTACCTCACGGGCAACCTGCAACATCTTCCCCAGAGACAACAGTATAAACATATACCCAAAACGGGCAACATTGGAAAATATAGCCACAGGTGAAAACTGTCAAACATTTTTGGGGTTTTTAGTTACAATTGTCGTCTTCTCTTCCTCGCTAATTACATTCCAAAAACACTTCTTCATTACATTTTATTAATGAAAATTCCCCTTTGTTCAATATTTTTTTTAATTACAAACTAGTGAATCTGGTTAAAATTCGAGATTTTTTGTTAACTTTATGCTAAATTTCTAAAAACTTAACTAACCTGGTGTGTATTTTTCCCTCGGGTTTTTTCTGACTTTATGTAATGATGCTTTGGTTATTGTGTTGTGTTCACTCGGGCACGACTTTCATCAGCTATGATGTTCTCTCTCTTGCAGTAGTTTTTTTTCTCTCAATACTTTCAGAATTTCATTTAGTCTTGCGAAAACGTCCCCTTGAATGGTATCTGCCGGAAATGAAAATTTTTTAAAAAATTTAGCAAAAAAAATTTAAATTTTATTTACCCCCTAATAAATATTTTTCAAAAATAACAACAAAAAAAATTTGAAGAATAATAGCAGTATATTTATTTGTGTAAAAAGGACTTTGAACAGTGTTGCAAAACACATTAAAATCTAACCCAAAAACAACTGGGGAGGTGCTAAAATTTTCCCCAAAATTAAAAAATATATTACCCGGGGGTTTCCTGGAAGGGGTTTTATGGGCAACGCCCCCCGCGGTCGGTCTGTGTCAGGTTCATGGTGGTCAGCGTCTTATAATAGGTGTTCTTTGGCCCGAGCAAGCTGACTATAACCACAGCTCCCCCGGGTCAGGTACTGACTTTAGGTGCTGTCAGTGCCTTCTTTAAGACGCCAGGGGTCGTGGGGTTTCCCCCCCTTTTGTAGTGGGGGGCAAATGAACGCTTGGACCCCGGCATTAATGTGTTGTCTCTCAGTGACTCGTGGGGCCCCCGCTTTTCATCGGGGAATGTTTCACCCCGCGGTCTTTTGCTTTCTATTTAGAGATTTTTGTGTGGAGGGTTTGGTACCAAACCCCCCGGGGCCTTCCAAGTGTAAATTTTCATGTATCTCTCTCGCCTGTGTTCCAGGGAAAACAGATCAAGGGCCCTTTAACCATTCCCCGTAATTTAGGGTGCCTTATCATACTTATGTGTGCCGTGAAAGTTCTTTGTTTTTGGTATCGGGCTGTGTTCTTTGCAATTGCTTTACTGCCACCCCTTTTTGGAGTGCGGTATGTCTGTTGTTTTTAGTGTGTGTGGGATGACCCCTGTGTCCATGCCCCCTCTCCATAAAATGCTAAAGGCATGCGATAGGGCTTCTTGCAGTTCTTGATGAACACGGGAATTCCGCGGGGGGGCCCCTGGGGCAGGTGCATGGGCATGTCTTTATTGCTCTCAAATCTTGTGGAGTTAGAATAATATCCGAAATTATGAGGCTAATGTGCCAGAGATTAAAGGCAAACCCAAAAATTTTTTTTTTCAGGATAAGAAGGAGATTAGGGAAAGATTGGCCCATTTAAGAGAAAATTGGTCAGATCACTGACAGTGATAAGGAATGTGTGAAATTCTCAAAACCACTTCCTCCAGTTGCCCCTCAGGAAAATACTAGCAATTTCCTAAAATAATAGATTATGTAGAACGGGGCGATAATAAACTATGTACGATAGCGGTAACTGGGGACTGGCCCTCAGACAAAAAGAGAAAAACAAAAACCTAAAAAATCCCAGGCCTGTGAACTGTTTGCAAGAGTTTTAAAAGGAATGTAAAGGGAATTTAGTATCCCTTTTGGCTAATTTTTTTAAAACATATATAAAAACGGGTAGTGCCTGATAAGGGGAAAAATGGCAAAGAAATTTCCCTATTTACAAGGCAGGTGCAGGTCCTTGGGCTTCGAACTATGCCCAATAACCCTTCCCTCCATAGGGGGAAAATTTATGGAATCAATAATTGCTGAAGCATTTTGTGCATCTTGATAGGCACAGATTGATTTTTGAATCTCAACAGGTTTTTCAAAGGGGGGTTCCTGTCTTCGAATTTACTAACTTTTTTCACTAAGGGGTTTGAGAGGTAGATCTGGGAATGAAAATGAAAAGTGTATATGGATTCGTAAGACTTTCGTAGAGTTCCCCATCAGAGGTGTTGAGGAAACTTAAGGCACACGGAATAGGGGAAAAAAATTTTTTCCTGGGTTTGAGGCATGGCTGACAAAAAGGCAGAGAGGTTTGCATAACTGAGGAGAAAACGAATGGGGGCACATCACAAGCGGGGTTCTCAGGGGTCGTGTTGGGCCCGTTGTTGTTTTACAAATTTTCATAAACGACTAGATGAGGAAAATAAATAGCGAAAAAGCAAAATTTTCGTGACCCAAAATAGGCGTCCCTTCATTCTAATGAGGACACTAGAGGTTGGCAGTGCGTTTAAATTGACAAATGCAAAGTTTAAAGTTGGGCAGGGAAATAACCATGCAGGTTAAACTAAAAATGTAGATTTATTATATGATTGCAAAAGGATTTAGGAGTTTGGTTAGCGTAAATTTAAAAACCAAAACAACAGTGCATTAGTGTTCGCAATTAAAAACTAAAGAATTCTTGGCTTAAAATCCAGAAGTATAAATAAAAGAAATCCCCAGGTTGTTTTCAACTTATTCCTTGGGGTTTGGCTCATTTAGGGTTTGCTGCTCAGTTCTGGTACCCTTTTTTCAGAAGGATATAATTTCTGGAAAACGTACAGAGGAGGTTGACAAAGATGATCCCCTGTATCAGAAAATTTTTCCCTTGAGGAAGCTGAAG